TGGGTGTTGACCCGCTCATGGTACACCTGCGTGGTGGTGTAGGCATCGCCATTGCGATAGCGGGTCACCTGGCGCGTCCGACGGATGTAGTGGTAGCTCACCGCCTTCCACCACACGCAAGGCGCTGCCTGCTGCATGTGCTGCACCAGCTGGTGCACGCTGGCAGTGCTGGCCCGGGGCTGGCGCCGGGCCTGGGCAAAGCGATGCCAGCACTCTACCAGGTAGAGCAGGTAGAGCATGGCCAGGAAGGCCAGCGGGATGTAGAGATAGCCGTCTGAGCAGGGGCTGGCGTGATAGATAGTGGAGGTTCCCCGGGATGCCCCATCAAAGGCCAGGCGGGTAACGGTGGAGAGGTGGCACCAGGCCACGGCACCAAAGCAACCATACATCAGCAAGGTGAGCAGGAGGCACCGCCAGTGTGACTCCCGCCACAGGGAGCTGCTCAGCGACTGCTTGAGGGGGCGCTGCTGCTCCAGGGAGAGAGAAACACAGTTAGTGGGGAAAGACCCTGTGGCCCTTTCCCTGTCCCCTTACCCTGAGGCTGGATCAGAGCCAATGCCCCACAAAGGGGAAAGGTCCCATTTCCTTTCCTCCCAAGCCTTCCAGTCCCCCCTGTGGCAGATCAGAGCTGCTGCCCCCTGGAGAGGAAAGGCCCCATGTCCCATACCCTGCCCTCCAAACTCCAACTATCAAAAGGGCTGGCCCAGGCCAGGCAGCAGTAACCAATCAGAACACACGTGAGCAGGCTATTGCCTGGAAAGGGGGTGGCCCCTCCGGCACAAGTCCCAGCTGTGCCTGCAGCCAGCATCTAATCTGCCCCCACCCTCCTTCCACCTCAACAGCGTCTCGTGGGCCCCAGGCAAAGCGCCAAAAACAAATGGACTCCCAGACGCAGGGCAGGACTAGGGATGCAGATGCATCAGCACCAATGAGCTCACTGGGGGATGGGAAGGCTCAGGGACAAACCACCAGACCTTATCCCCTGTCCCAGAGCTGGGTATAGCACCCCGAGTCCTGGCTCCCACCCCCACTGCTTTGGACCATTAGATCCCATCCCACTCTGACCTGGGACTAGAGCCCAGGAGTCCTGGACCCCTGCTCACCTCCAACTGCCTAGACCCCACTTGCCTCCCAGGCCCAAGGCCAGAACCCAGGAGTCCTGGTTCCTACCCTTTCCTGCTTCAGACCCCAGGCCTCTCCTGGAGTTGAGAACAGAACCCATGGGGCTGCCAACACCCCCGCCCCTATTCCCTGCCACTGGACCCCACAACCTCCCAGAGCTGGGAATGGAGGGGTGGCCCCACGGATGTGATGGGGGAGGGTCAGGGATCGAAACTGCGCAGAACCAGCCAAAGCAGGACTGCCCCGCACGCCTCCTCCTGCCTCTGCGACCCCCCCGCCCCACACTCACACCCACACCCAGGCGTGTTCCCTGCAGCACTGGGGGGAGGGGCACGGAGAAAACAAGGGCTCTCCACCCCACCCTGGGCCCGGGGGATTCCAGCCCCAGCAAGCCCTCCCCCCTCCCCCGGCCTTTGTCCCGATCGAGCCCCTCACGGTCCCTCCCACACACACACCCAGCCCCAGCTGCTCTGCTGCAATGCAGAGCCCGGCACCCGACCCGCCTCCCCGCGACGGGCCCGACAGCAAACCGCCCCCCCGGGCCAACGGGCCCCCCCCAGTCCCGATCCAGCTCCGGTGATTCCGGTGCTCGTCCCTCCACATTGTAACGAGAGTTACCGAAATGCCGGGGGGACGAAGCGGGGGAATCGCCGTGACCCCCACGTCAACAGCCCCTTACACCCCAACCCCGCCTGTCTCCCCGTACCCCCAGCCCGCACCTCCCATCCCCCCAACACCGCCTATCCCCCACGCACCCCCCAACTCACACACAAACACCCCCCACGCCCTGCCCGACTGTCCGGCGCGGGGGGTGCAAACGCGACAGGGGAGAGCAGCGCCCCCGCCCACCAGCCCCTGGAGGGAGAGCACCCCACCCCTTGCGCATGGGGGGTCCAGGATCGGGCCCAGCGCTCACCTCCTCCCGGTGCGGGTCCCCCGCGGGGGGCGGGCTGGGCAGCGCCCCCTCGCCGAGCATGGCTGTTGCTGGGGGCTGCGGCAGCCGGGATCGCGGGCACCATGGCGGGGTCAGACCCAGCGCCCCCCGGCCCGAGCGCAGAGCCGCCTCCCTGCCTGGTGCATCTTCTGCGCCCCGCTCCGATTGCTCCGTGCGCCTGCTCCGCCTCCCCCGGCGGGGCCCTGCCCGCGGCGCCGGGGCCGCCTCCCGAAGCCTCCCTCCTGCCCCGGTGCCCAGCTTCCCCTGCCCAGCACTGCGCCCCGCTACAGCATCGCCCCCGGTTCCGCACCCCTACTCCTGTGCGCCCAGGCGCCCCATCTCTTCCACCCATCGCAAAGCCTCTCCCCCGCGCTCCAGTGCATCCACCTCCCCTGCCACCAACCCAGGGCCCTGCTGTCCCCTGCACCCCAGGGGTCTCCTGTGCCCCCACCCCTCCCCTTCCTGCACCCCTCTGCCCCCTTCCTCCCTCTGCCCCATCCCCTGGTGCCACCCACCCTACACTGCATCCCTGTGCCCCAGAGCCCGTGTGCTCCCTCCACACACACACACACACAGGCACACCCTGCTCTCAGTCACCCGTGCCCTGGGTGCCCTTATGCCTCCTGACATCCCTGCTCCTGTGATCCCCTCTCTCCTTCTGCCCCACCTTTATCCCCTGCTATCACCCACCCCAGGGCCCCTGCAACCCCAGTGCCACCCTGTCCCACCCCTTAACCCCTCCTGTCCCTGTACTGCACCCCTTATGCCCCAGTGCTACCTACTCATCCTACTTGCATATTCCCCCTGAACCCCCACTCCTCACCCCCAGTGTGACCCACACCTCCTGTCCCTCCACTGTACTCCTTATGCCCTGTGCCCCAGTGCTACCTGCACATCCTACCTGCATGTGCCCCCTGACCCCCACTCCTCACCAGGGCCAACGAGAGGGGGGGGAAGCCGGTACAAATTACCGGGGCCTGGCTCCCCCCCCCCACCTTGTCGGCCCTGTTTAGCCGGTCCGCCCTTGCTGGGAGGCCCGAAAAAAAATTTTCACCGGGGCCCAAACTCGCTCTCGGCGGCCCTGCTCCTCACCTCCATGGTACAACCCACATATTATGCTTCTAATTGACCCTCTGCCCCCAGCCCAAGTGCCATCCTGCAACCCCCACCCCAACCTGTGCCTCCTACTCCTATCAACCTGCACCCCCTGGCACCATCCCCAGTGCCTCCCTGCCCCTCCTCAGTGCCTACAACCCCCACTCCCCTTGTTCTCCAATGCCCTTAGGAGTGCAAGGTGTCTCAGCTCTGTGTTGCCAAAGTCCGTCTGTGCCTCCTTCCCCACCCCCACCCCCATGTTGCATTTTGGAGATGGTCCCTAAGATTTAGGGGGCTCCTCCAGAACATCCACCACCACTTCCATCCTCACTAGCTAGTGAGTCTGTCATCGCCAAGCTGCTGAGACCCACATTTGGAGGAAGTGCCTTAGTCCTAAGGGCCAGACCCCCAAATGTCCATAGGAATTCAGTCCCCCCAATGCCCCTGGCAGAATGGCTGGTCCTGACTGCCCATGGACTCCATTGATCAGGTAAGAGAAGTGAGATTGGCTCCATTGCCCTCCCCCCAGACCTCCTCTCCACCTCTCCCTAGAGCTCCCATGGATCCAGGACAAGGGGGCAGTGCCCAGGCAACGGAGCCCCTATCTCAGAGAACGTGTGCAGCATGCAAGACTTCCTTGTGCAATGTGCAAAGAACTAGATTCCCTGGAGACTGGCATGAGAGTCGGTAGGTGAGCTGCGGAACTCCCTGCCAGAGGATTTATGGATAGGAGATTCAAAGGCCAGAAGGCCCTGTTCTGATCCTCCATTCTGACTCCTGCATCACTCAAGCTGGGTACTTCCCCACACGGATTCCTGCACCCCGCCCAGAGCTGCTGGCTAAGCTGGAGTTGAGCTTTTAGAGAGACACCCAGTTTGGATTGAAAGACCCCACTTGATGGAGAACCCCCTTCCCCCAGCCCTGAGGCAGTTGTGCCAAGGGTGAGTCCCCTCTCCCTGTTGAACATGCGTCCCTCCGTTCCAGGCTAAATGTGTCGGGTGTTGGCTCCCAGCCTTTGGCTCTCGCTCAGCTTTTGTCTGTGACATTAATGAGCCCCCAGCTTCAAGAAATCTCCCTGTGGAGGTGCTGAAAGGCCAGGATTGAGCCCCTTTGGGACCTTCTCTGGGATAAACTAAATGCAGCTCCATCAGCCTCTCCTTGCAAGGCAGGTCCTCCAGGCCTCAGATCCTTCTTGTGCTTCTTCTCTGAGGCTCCCCTTGATTTGTCACCAGCCTATGGAAGAGTGGTAACTGGATGTGGGTGCAAGATCCAGTCTCGGTCTCACCAATGCTGCGTGCAGAGGGGATTTCACCTCCCAGCTCCTGCTCCATGTCCCTCAGACATGCCAGGATCACATTCACCCTCATAGCAACAGTATGGATGGCACTGGATGCTTCTGCTCAGCTGATTTTCACCAGCACTCATGAGTCCCTGCAATCCTGAATGCAGCCCCCAGCCTGCACTGGGGTCAGGGCTCTCCTGCCAGGCCTTGTGGAGTCATGCCTGCTATTAGGCGAAGGTTCAGCTGGTCCAAAAGGGACGGTGAGTTAAGCAGGTCACTTTACTCAAAACCCTGTAATCTTGGGACGCCAGGAACTGGCACTTTAAATAGACCCCTTTGGGTCAGGCTCTCAGCACGTGGAAACTGACCAGGCTCCACTGAAGTCACCAGTGTTGGGATGACTTTCACCCACTGAGAATCTGCTCCCAGTAGCGAACAACTTCACCTGCAATTGGAGTCAGTGGCCCAAAGTGGGGGTGTGCTTTGGGGTGCAGATGGGGCCCAATGGGCTTAGTCTCCCAGGGATCCGTGGGATTTGACTAATTCCTGCAGGCTCTGTTTTTAAAAAATGTGCTAGGTTGTTATTCAGATATGAACTCTCCCCATCCCCCACATCTGTGGCCAGCAAAAACTCCATTGGTGGCTGCCTCAGGCTCCTCCGCTTCTCTGTGTATTTATTGTTCCAATTCCCCTGGCTGGGACCCCACAATTACATCAGGATCCTCACACCAATTGCTACTGACCAGTAGCTGAGTGCACCTTCCCCAGGGTATTGTGTAGGGGAGGCGTGCACTCATATGCCTGGTATTTTCCTGGCTGTGCAGGTGCACCTGACAGAGCTGCGGGATGTAGAGCAGTCTCAGGGGCAGGAGGAGGTAGCTGTTAACTCTGAAAAAAGCCTTGGTGGTCATAGTGGATAAGCAGCTGAACATAAGCTCTCAGTGTGATGCAATCCTTTGATGCACAAACAAGGGAATCTCAGGTAGAGAAGAGGTTCTGTTGCCTCTGTACGTGGCAGAGGTGCGACCACAGCTGGAATCCTGTGTCCAGTTGTGGTGTTCACAATTCAAGAAGAATCATGTTGATAAATTGGAGAGGGGTCAGGGTAGAGCCACAAGAATGATTAAAGAATTGGAAAATGTGCCTTATATGAGACTTCAGAAGCTGAATCCGCTTACCTTAACAAAGAGCAGGTTAAGAGGCGGCTTGATCACAGTCTCTATGTACCTACATGGGGAACAGAAATTTAACAAGCTTTTCAATCCAGCAGACAGAGATCTGACATCCAATGGCTGGAAACTGAACCTACACAGAGCCAGACTGGAAAGAAGTCATAAATTTTTACCAGCGAGGGTAATTAATCATTGGAGCAACTTCCCAAGGCTCATGGTGGAGTCTTCATCAGACAACTTTTAAATCAAGAATAGATGGGGTTTTTTCTCAAATAGCTGCTGTAGTGCAAACAGGAATTAATTCAGGACAGTCCTGTGGCCTGTCACATGCAGGAGGACAGACTAAATGACCACAGTGGTCCCTTCTGGCCTTGGCATCTATGACTGTATGTGCAGTGCAGGGGGCACTGGTTGTCAGTAGCCACTAACCAGGGCCACCCAGAGGATTCAGGGGGCCTGGGGCAAAGCAAATTCGGGGGCCCCTTCCATAAAAAAAAGTTGCAATACTATAGAATACTATATTCTCGTGGGGGCCCCTGCGGGGCCCGGGACAAATTGCCCCACTTGCCCCCCGGGGCGGCCCTGCCACTAACAGCTGTACAAAGCATGGATCTAGTATATAGAACCCTGACTGAGCTACTCCCTCGCCCGCTCCACTGGCCCCTTCACAACTGCTCGCCCCCACCCCCACACTCCTGGCACTTAGAGCTTCAGCTGCAGTAAATACGCATGCGCCGCTTCCTGGTGCCACACATCCCGCCCTCTGACTTCTCATTGGAACAACTGGGTCTGGATTGATATCTCCTGACCCAATCAGCATGACCGTTTGTCCAAGCCACGTGGTCCGGCGGCCAATCGGAACTGGGGAGCGTGTGACCGGGGACGTGGCTGCTGCCGGGTCTCAGGGTACGGAACGGGGTGCCCGCAGCGAACGAAGGGCCCGTGAAAGCGCCCGGGGGGACCCGCAGCTCATTGTTATTCATACCCACAAAGCCCCGCGGGGGCGGCCGCGCGCTGAGCCCGCCATGGCCTATCACCAGGGCTACGGGGGGCAAGGTGAGTGCGGGGCGCGGGGCTTACCCTCTCCTGAGGGCCGGGCCGGTGGCGGTGGGGAGCTGCGGAGCTGGGGCTGCCGGGACCCGTTCGCCCCAGGTCTCCGCGCCCGGCCGCTGCTGCCTCGGGAGACCCCGGCCAGGCTGGTGTCTCCGCCGAGGCCTCCAGCCGCCCCCAGGCTCTGGGTGTCGGGTTCCCGAAGCTCCTGGCTCCCCCGGCCCAGCACGTGGGCAGCTGTGGGGGGCTGGACCCAGCGGGCGAGGCCCCCCAGCCGGCTCGGGGGTCTCTCCGGTGCTGGGATTGGCTGGCAGCTCTCGGGGGTTTGAGGGCCCTGCGTGAGCTGGGGTGGGGGGACCCCAGGGCCAGGCCCTGTGTGGGGAGGGGCGATGCCAAGGGCCAGGCCTGCTGTGATGTGGCAAGAGTTACGGGTACACTGTAGAATTGCACCACCACCACCCCCCGCCAAGTCAGGAAGAAAAGACCAGCGTGGCCCAGTTACATCCCATTCTCCCCTCCCCACGAAGCTACTTAGACACCATGAATAAGTCTTGATCGTCTCTTTGATACGCTGAACATCTGGAGCTCTTAAAGGCTTCGAGCGAGAGACTTGGTTCTTCAGCCCCCAAGTCACTTTGACGGCTCCTTTCTGCACCCTCTTCAGTTTTTCAACCTGTGGCCCCAGAACCAGATGCCCTGTTGCAGTAAGGGTCTGCCCAGTGCTGTATGCACCTATTTACACCTACTCTGGTTACAGATTGGGTGACTCCAAGGGTCACCTTAGTCCTTATTGCCACAACATGGCACTGGGAGCTCATGGTCAGTTGCTTGTCCACTTTGACCCCTGGATCCTGTCCAGAGTCACTGCTCTCCAGGAGACAGTCTCAGCTCTGTCCGCACGGCCTGACTCCCTTGTTCTTAGATGGGTGGCCACGTTTGGCTGTATTAAAATATAGTGTGTCTGAATGGGTCCTGCTCCCCAATCAATTCAGTTCGCTTTGTATGACAGCCCTGGCCTAGTCACTATTTACCAATCTGCATGTTGTCTGCACATTTGATCAACGTTGATTTTATACGTATTGCAGGCTCCAAGCACCGAGGCCGGGGCCCCCTGGTCCCTCCTGCCCCGGACCCCCACCAGCTCTTCGATGACACCAGTGCTGGTTTCCAACATGCACAAGGCACCCCTGCCTCAGGAATCGACATGGGCTTCAACACCCTCCTGGCTGACCCAATGGCTAACGTGGCCGTGGCCTATGGCTCCTCCATCGCCAGCCAGAGCAAGGACATTGTCCACAAGGAGGTATGGGAGGGACAGGACCCAGACCCCTGCACTGCTCAGGGCTAGAATGGGGGGGGGGGGTGATTGGGGGTGCGGAATGCTCTGCAGCCCCTGGAATCTGCATACCTTGCGCCTCCATGGTGGGGAGAGTCCTCCCCTACTTTGGCAGTACCCTCTCTGCAGGGCAGAGGGAACTGAGTCTCCATGGCCCTTTCACAAAAGGGAGCATGGTCTGTTTGTTAAAGTGGGGGGTCTGGGAGTCAGGACTCCTGCGTTCTTTTCGCAGCTCTGGGAGGGGAGTGGACCTTGGGGGCCAGGACTCCTGGGTTCTATACCTGGCTGTAGTAGGGGAGTGGGATCTAGTGGATTAGAGCAGGGATGGGCTGGGAGCCAGGACTCCGGTGTTCCCTTCCTGTCTCTTTGCCTCAGTTTCTTCTCTATAAATTGGATCTGGCCCCTGCAGGAGAATGGGGAGGTGTCGCTAATTGACTAGTGGTGGGCTTTGTCCTCCCAGGATGCCCCAAGCGGAGTAACACTTGTCACACACATCCCATTTTGCCCAGTGCAGTAATCCCCTGGTGCAGCCTGGTGTGATAACCTCCCCTGCCCCACCCAGTATGATTAGTCCCCCGTTATGCCCCATAGCACAACCCCCTGCTCTTCCTGAAACAGTAACAAGTCCCCTTTCCGGTGCCATAACCCGACTCTTCCTGCACAGATCCACAGGTTCATGTCAGTGAACAGGCTCAAATATTTTTTCGCCGTGGACACTGCCTACGTGACCAAGAAGCTGGCGCTGCTGCTCTTCCCGTATGCACACCAGGTACGGGATGCCCTTGCCGCACATCCTGATGCACAAGTTATGGGGTCTCAGAACTGGCCGTGGGGTTGAGAGTCATGACTCCTGGGTTCTCTCCCTGGGAATCAGGACACGTGGGTTCTAGTCCTGGTTCTGCCATTGGTTCAATTGCATGATGATGATGATGTCTGTGCCTCAGTTTCCCCTGTTTAATGGATAAGGATCTGCAAGGCTTAGAGGCAATATCCAATCACTCTCCCTTCTCTTTAGAACTGGGAGGTTCGGTATAGCAGGGACACACCCCTGACGCCCCGGCAGGACATCAATGCGCCGGACCTGTACATCCCCAGTGAGTATGATCAAGCAAATAGTGATGGGGGGAGGGGCCTCTCCTCCTAACCCAGGTTAGTCAGGTCTGATGCCCTCCACTCTCAGGCCACTCACCCACCCATCCTCAGCCCCAGGGGCCAGGGCCTGATGACCCTTCTCCTAGGACTGGTAGCTAGGGTCGAAGAGACCCCCTGTTTCTGTCTGTATCTAGTGCAAGAGAGAGCAGTTGGTAGGTGTCAGACAGAGAGAGAGAGAGGGTGTGGTGTGTATGGGGATGAATGGATGGGGGTGTGTAAATGGGGATGAACTGGGGGAGGGAGGGTCAATGGACAGACTGCCCAGTCAATTAGGCAGACGGACCTCGCTAGCACTGTCCCCTGGGAGGCTGATCCCCTCCCCTCACATTTCCTGTCCTGTCTATGGGTTTCGTCTCCCCCTCAGTGGAAACTGTAGCTCACGCTTCATCTGTGTGTCTATTTCAGGCATGGCCTTTATCACCTACATCCTGTTGGCCGGCATAGCCCTGGGCCTGCAGCAAAGGTGAGTCCTGCTTCCCTGGAGCCACCAAAACTCTCAGCCCACCTTTTCCCCCACAGGCTTTGTCAGAGGCGCTCTCCCCTCTCAGGCAGCACTGACCCCAGTCCCCTAGCGCGGTGGGTCCTTTTTTCCAGTGATTCCCGGGTGTGGAGGATCCCGCTGGTGTTTTCCTCAAAAGCTGAAGTGTGAACCCAGGTGTCCTCCTAGCCAAGTTCCAGATTGGGTGACTCTGCCTGTCTCTAAATCTCTGCTATAGTTTCTGTCGGTTGCAGGATTCTCCCCTATTTCCCCTCTCAAACTCGGGTGTAGCTTTGCTATGTGACCCCAGAGGTGGCTGCATCTCAACGCCAGGCAAGGGATCCCTGTATAAATAGCACCTGCACCCCACCCCAGCGGCAGAAGTGAAGGCTGATTTGCTGTCATGGTTCCCTGGCAGGTTCTCCCCGGAGGTGTTGGGCATGTGTGCCAGCACTGCCTTTGTGTGGGTAGTTATTGAAGTCCTCGCCCTGCTCCTGAGTCTGTACCTAGTGACAGTGCAGAGCGACCTCACGCCCTTCGACCTGCTCGCCTACAGTGGGTACAAATACGTGGGGTGAGTCTGCATGCAGGACAGCCCTGCTGCCGCAAGCCAGCTGGGCGGGCAGCAGCGCCAGGCAGCTGCCGGGGAGGGGGGTTCGAGGCTACAAAAGTGGGGCAGGGGTTACAGAAAACTAGGCTGAAATGAAAATAATTTAATGAAAACAAAAAATTAATTATTGTTGTCTACATTTTTAATGGAAAATTTCAGTTTTTTTGGCGAAAATTTAAATTCTGATAATATTTCAATTTTGCTCAAAAAAATTTCAGGAAAAGCTGCTGTAGGGCATCATGGGAGTTATAGTCCGGGAGCCTCAAGCCCCCATTCTCCACTGTGTGCCAGTGTCCCTTGCACAGACTATATCTCCCATGATGCACCAGTGGGGTGGGCCTTGGGGTCCTGCTGGAATGGGGGGCTGCACCGGGTGATGCTGGGGTGGGGTTGGGTGTTCTGCCAGGGTTGGGATGGCTGGATGGGGTGAAGCTGAGAGTGGGTCTGAAGTGTCCAGCTGGGATGGGGGGACTGGGTGGGGTGATACCGAGGGTGAGTCTGAGGGGTCCCACCAGAATGAGGGAGCAGGCTGGATGGCATGCTGCTGGAGGAGGGGGGCTGGTGCATCCGTGCAGGGAGGGGAGATGTGAGGAGCCCCCTCTCACTGCCTGGCCCTGCCCTCCCCTAATTTCTGTCTCCTGCAGGATGATCCTGGCTGTGCTGGGGGGGCTGCTCTTTGGCAGTGATGGGTACTACGTGGCCCTTGCCTGGACATCCTGTGCCCTCATGTACTTCCTGGTGAGTGCAGGGCCCAATATGGACACCTACAGCCTCTGTAATCTCTACGGACAGCCCCTATATAGACACGTAGAGCCCCCATAAATCCCTGGGGCCAGGCACCCAGGAATGGGGGTTGCTTCTCTACAGCAGCTATAGCCCCTGTAACCCACAGGTTGGAGGTGCTTGGGAATGGAGATAGGGGAAGAGCCTCAGAAGTGAGCGAGGCCATGTGGCCCCTGGGCCATTTGAGGCCATCCCATGGAGTAGTCTCCAATGCCCTGTCCCCACATGGTAGTATCTGCCAATCCCAGCGGCAGGGGCAGTAGCCTTTGAACATGAGGCATCATGGGACTTGGTAATGGCTCCCTCAGCCACAGTAGCTGCAATGTTCAACTCACTCCATGGGGGCAGTGCAGAGGTGGGGGCCTGGGCATGGGGCTGCATGAGAAGAGGAGTGGGGCTGGGTAATTACCAGTTCATCCCCCATGTCTAACGCTGTCTCCCCACAGGTGAGGTGGTGGCAGGGAGAGACAGGGCAGGTGGGTTACCGGGCCAGGCTCCCCCCTATATCTAATGTTGTCTTTCCCCAGGCACGATCCCTGCGAATGAAGCTGCACCCGTCCCTGGTGCCAGATGGGATGGGGCATCCCAGGGGCGGTGGGCGTGGTCAGACCTATGTCACCCTGGGGGCTGCTGCCTGCCAGCCACTCATCGTCTACTGGCTCACCTTCCACCTGGTCCGCTGAGATGGGGCAGCGTAGCGCCCTGGGGGACAGTCCGTCCCAGACACATGGACTCCTGGGACGCCCCCAGACATACAGGCACCCAGGACACACATCCTCCAATGCACAGCTGCCGGGAACCATACACAACCTGAAGCATGGACACCTCAGACCCCCATGTGGGGGCTGGCAGCCAGGACTCCTGGGTTCTATCCCCAACTGGCTGGGTGACCTGAGGTGTGTCCCTTCTCCTGCCTATGCCTCAGTTTCACCCTCACTTTGAAGGAGGGATGATAACACTAACCTGCCCTCTGGGACTTGCCTAGCCACATCACCTCAGGTGCAGGGCCCTACCCCCCACCTCCCATCTGCTGGTGGGTATCTGGTCCCCCAGTCCCCTGGGATGGAAAGTACCCCCAAAAAACAGTGTTTCTAGCATATCAGTGTTTTCCTGGAGAACTCCATCAAAACCCAACACTTGGGGAGAGGGAATAAAGAGTCCTGACTAACCAGCAGTCTGTGTGTCAGTGCTGGGCCATGGTGCTAGGGGGAGCTGTGCAGCAGAGAGTGGGGCAGTGGCCCAATAGGGGGCACTTTGCCCTTGCAGCCCTGGCCCCAGTGCCCAGGCATGGTACTAGGCGGGCTGTGGAGCAGGAAGCAGGGTGGGGACTCAGTAGGGGAGCATTCTACCCTTGCAGGCATTGTGGACCCCGCTACACACAGTACTAGTACAGTGCCCCTCAATCCCAACCTGATGCCACTGCAATTTCTGTCCCATTCATAGAACCATAGATTATATATCACAGAATCATAGATAGGTAGGGCCGGAAAGGAGACTTAGACCAGCCTGCTGTTCTGAACAGGACTGAGTACACCAGGGATTGTTGGGATCATCTAGTCTGACCTCCTGTATGACACAGGCCATGGGACTGCCCTGAATTAATTCCTCTTTGAACTAGAGCAGATACTTTGGAACAAATCCAGTTTTGATTTAAAAATTGCAATTGACGGAGAATCCACCAATCCTTAGGAAGTTGTTCCATAGTTAATTAATAAATTGTTAAAAACTTGTGCCTTATTTCCAGTCTGACGTTGTCTAACTTCAACTTCCAGCCATTAGATCGTGTTAGACCTTTGTCTGCTAGATTGATGAGCTCTCTGTTATCCAAGTGCTGTTCCCCAGCAGGCACTTCTAGAGTGCGACCAAGTAATCCCTTAGCTTTCTCTTTAAGCTAAATAGATCAGGCCCCTGGAGTCTCTCACTCTGAGGCATGTTTTCTAAGCCTTTAATCATTCTCGTGACTCTTCTCTGAGCCCTCCAATTTATCAGCATCCCTCTTGCATTATGGCCACCAGAACTGGACGCAGGATTCCAGCAGCTGCACCAGTGCCACCTACGGAAGTAACAGAGCCTCCCTTCTACTCAAGCTTCCCCTATTTATACATCCCAAGATTGCATTAGCCCTTTTGGCCACAGATTCACGTTGGGAGCTCACATTCAGCTGATTATCCACCATGACCCCCAAGCCCCTTTCAGAGTCACTGCCTCCCAGGATAGAGTCCCCCATCCTGTAAGTGTAACCTACATTCTTTGTTCCTATATGTGTAACTTTACATTTTGCCATATTAAATCACATATTGGTTGTTTGCACCCAGCTTACCAGCTCATTCTGTATCAGTGACCTGTCCTCTTCATTATTCACTACTCCTCCCATCTTTGGGTCATCTGCAAACTTTTATCAGCAATTATTTTATGTTTTCTTCCATGTCATTGCTAAAAATATTAAACAGGATAGGACCAAGCACTGTGGGACCCCAGTAGAAACATATGCACTCAGTGATGTTTCCCTGTTTACAAGTGAAATGTGAGACGGCTCAGTAAGCCAGTTTTTAATCCAGTTAATAACGTGTGCCGTGGTGATTTAGTATTGATGTGGTTTCTTAAGATATCCTGGGGTACCATGGCAAATGTATTGCAGAAGTGTAAATGTTCAACATCAACACTCATCTTTGACTCTCACCAAAAAATATACCAAGTTAGTTTGACAGGCTCTGTTTTCCATAAACCTGTGTTGATTGGCTTTAATTATACCACACTTCTTTATTTATTCAGTTCTGTTGTGTCAGTCATTCCATTATTGTGCCCTGGAGTGATGGAGGTGGGAGGTTCATTAGGGTTTGGTATCTTTACAGCTCAGGGTTGAGTGTTTGGCTGCAGGGAGCTTTGAACCATGTGGGGACAAGTGCAGGCCCTGCTCCCTACACCGCTTAAAGTAGTCTGAAAAAAGGGGGGGGGGAGGAAGGATTTCAGCTGTAATTTTCCACAGCTATTAAAGTGACTTCATAGCTGCCTGCCCCATCAAACTGCCCCTCCTTTCACCCCCTATTAACTCTACCCCCACCCCACCGCCTGGGGGAAGAACTCTGCAGCAGAAGATGGGGCAAGCAGCCAATCAGAGGCAGGGCTCAAGCGCCCAGCTGGAGTTGCAGAAGTTGTATTTGCTGCTGGGTCTGTGCCCCTTTGCCCAGAACTTTAACCCTCGCCTCCACTATAGCTCAGGCCTGCTGCCGCACAGGGATGCTAGGGTGAGGAGGGGAACAGACCAGGAGCTCTGGCTTATCCTGCCTTCAATGCTGCTGACATTGTCATTCTGCCTCTTGCCACCAGGTGTCAGTGCGAGCACACAGGGCCCTTTGCTCAGGGAAGCAAATGGAAGCAGATGCTATTGAATCCCCATAAACTTTCCTCAGCAGATGCCCTCAGTTATAGGGGTGCTGGAACCACGTGTACAGTGTGGGGGCACTGAGAGCCACTGAACCAAACTGTAAACCCTGGATATGATGGAAACCACTTTAAGAACGGGAGGTGCAGGAACACCCCAGTTCCAGCACCTATGCCCAGTTATGAGCCAGGGACCCCCTCCATATGCCTAGAGCAGCTGTAGGTTCCCACCCCAGCTCTGCCAGTGCCCCTCAATCCTGACCCACAACCCCCTGCTAGCCCAGCCTTGGGCTCCCCCTCTGGTTCTGTTAGTTAATTGCTTATCACCACCTTGCAGCCAATCCCCCCCAAGAGCAATTCATGCTGCAATGCTGACCTCAGCAGGTGGGGGAGGCGCCTGGGTCTCCTCCCCCCATCATTTCCCTTCACCGTGAATCCAGCACCTCAGTCAGCATGGATGGGTGGGGGCAAGAAAGACAGATAAGCTCTACCCCGTCCCACAGCACTGTTTCCTGCCCCCCGACCCCCAAGCTCCTACCAATGCCCCCACCCGCCACGCTCCCTGCGTCTGACAGCTCTGGCGGTTGCTGGCTCTTCCAATTAAGCAGAGATCTTTGGTTGGAGGTGGGAGGGGTGAATGAGGTGTGAACTCTCCCCCCACTCCAGTGAGCTGGGACTGGAACCCCACTGTCCTGACTCCCAGCTCTTCCCACTAGCTCCATGGCCCCTCCCGCAGCGAGGCTAAAAACCCAGCAGTCCTGACACCCAGCCCCCACCTCCCACCATTCTAACCAATAGACCCACACACACACCCCCCCCAGTTGGGCCCAGACCCCACAGGCCTGACTGCCAGCCTTCCCAGCTCTAACCCTGACACACCTTGCGCAAGCACCATCACCCATGCCTGTGCCAGTGTGCCCAAAAGCCAGCACCCTCCCCCCGAGAGAGGATAGGCCCTGTAGTCCATTCCTTGCACGCCCACACGAGTCTGTTTCCCCTGCCCTGGGGCTGGATTGGCTCTGCCACCCCCTGGAGGGTAGGACACAAACACACACATGCTTGCCCCCTCCCTCCCACCCCGTGCCTAGTCTAGGTGCACACACATTAACTAGCCTGCTTTGTTTAATGAGGAAATGGAGCGAATCGAGGACAAATTCACGGGCATTGCAGGGGGTAGGCGGGGGGGAGGGGGGAAGCTGACGGCAGCCCCAGGGCAGGCAGCTGGGGTCCTGTGGCTGGAGATGGGGGGCAGCTGGGGGTGGTCAGGTGGCAACTCACCTAAGCAGATTAAATCCATCAGCACCGCAGCTCATGGCTAATGTGCTGGAGCAAGTAGGGAAGGTAGTGAGCACTGGCCGTTACATAACAGCTCCTAGCCTGGGGGCTGGGCTCCTACCACGCTCCCCCCCCCCCACCGCCCCCCCACCGCCAAACCCCAAAATGCTGATGGGTCAGGTCTCAGTGCCAGTCGGGGTGGGGGGGGAAATCTGTATAAACAGCCCCAGCACGCCACCCCCAGAGGCAGCTGCTGCTCACTGCCAGGCGAGGGAATCCCTGTATAAACAGCCGCAGTGCCCCACGCCAGAGGCAGCTGCAGCGCAGCGCCAGGCGAGGGATCCCTATCTACACGGCTGTGATGGAGCGCGTTCCCAGCAGATCAAAGCCTGGGGGAGGTGGCTCTTTGCCAGTGCAAGGTTCTCATTCTCCCTCACATTCTCTCCCTGGCAGCATAGTGACAAATTTGATCTAAGACAGGAATTTCCCTGATGAAAAATGTTGGATAAATGGCCCAGAAAACAGCAGCTGCTGATTATTCTCTAGCGCTTCAAAGAGCTTTGCAGCCCTACAACTGCCCCAGGAGAGAATTTTCCTGATCTCATTACAGAGGGGAAACATATCAGCAAAGCGGATCGGACCTAGGAATCCTGGCTAACAGCCCCCCCCCCAAACCCCCCCCCTCCCCCAGTGCAGTAACAGAGCCCTGCAGGCCTCAGGGGTTCCCCCCCCCTCATCCTGGCTCTAGCCCCCTCCCACCGGCTAGGGAAAGAACCCAGGAATCCCTGCCCAGGTTCCAGGAGCGGGGATGTCCCTGGGCTGGCTAGCTGGGCTGTCCCATATGGACTGAGCTCGCTGCCTATGACCCACCCCTGTCCCCACACAGGAGCCAACCCTAAGGTTGGCCCTTTGGCTCAGGCAGGACTGACAGACCCAGCCACAAGTCACAGCTGAGTGACTGCTGGCAGGTGGCTAGGTGTGTGTGTGTGTGGGGGGGGGGGGTCATACAGGGTGTGTATGAAGCTAGTTGGGGGGAAGCCTGTGAGGGGTGTTGTAGGGGGCAGGGGTTTGGCCTGGCAAGAAGGGCTGAAGGGCTGAGACAGTGAGTGTGTGCCCGCTGGTGCTCAAGGGCTGCGTACATCCCCAACAGCAGTGCCCAGCCCTGGGGTGAGGGCACACATCCCATCCTGGCAGGCTTTGGGGCTCCCTGTGGCAAGGGACTCAGAAGCAGGGCTGCCAGCAGTCCCTTATTACAAGGGATGTCCCTTATTTTTTCATCTCTGTACAAGCAGCTCCGGAGTTGCTGAGTGCTGTGAAAAGCAGCAAGCAATGCCCCTGGCGAGTGGAGGGGGGTGAGTACGGCTTCTTATTGCTACATGCTGCGACCTCAAATAATAACAATATCGGGGGGGGGCTACGAAAACAGGCCCTTAGTTTTGAACCACAATGTTGGCACCCCTTGAAGGCCTCTGGGCTGTTGCAGTGCAAAGCAGCTCCCCAGTGCCCTGGGGGCTGGGAGCATAGACGTGTCCCCGGAGGCAGGGTTGGTGGGAACAGGCTGCCCAGCACTTCACCGGCCTCCACAGCAGCAGTGTCAGAGCACGCCCCTCCCCTCCCCAGCCCCGGCAATGTTCCGCCTGCCTTGGGAGGCAGCCAGTCCGGGGCCTGCTCAGCCCCTCTCCTGTGGCTGTGGAGGGGGGCGATGAAGCCCTGTGGCAGGGGACTGGATTGGAGCTGGTGCCCCCTTAGAGTGGAAAGCGCCTCCCCCCGCCCTCCCGTCCTGTGGCCAGATTGGAGCCAGCGCTCCCTGATGGCCCATGGCCCACTTACAGACACCAGGAGGTCAATGGGGCACTTTTTTTTTTTTTTGCAAGTTTTTATTTAGCCACAAAGTTGAGGATTGTTTATCCAATGTTTCTTTTATACACAAATGCCCCGTGGGAGGGGAAGGGGGGGACCAAGGGGAAGCAATTTCCCCCACACACCTGTAGACAGCTCTGGCACCAGGGTCCCTTTCTGTGTGGGCCTGACCCCAGGTGGAGGTGGAGGTGGAGGGTGGGGGTGGGGGGGTAGAATCCCCTCGCTCTAAGACCAGGGGTTTCCTCCCCAGCACCACCGGCACTGAGCCCAGAACAGCTCCCCATGTCCGATAACGGGGTGCTCTGCTCAGGGACTCCCCATGCAAGATAACAGGTCACCCCCACACAGGGACCCCATCCCAATTTTCTGGGCTCAAAGCCCAAATTTGAGTGCACCCCCAAATCCTCCCCCAGCTTGGTAATGAGGAGGCAGGTTAGAGGGGCCCTGACATTTGCAAGGGGTGTGTGACCTGGTGGGGGTGTCATTGTTCAGCCTTGATCCCCTTCTCCCTGGGGTCTAGTTAAGGCACCCCCTGGCCCCCCAACCCCCACTCCAGACAATAACTCCTGGTAATAAATTCAACACTACAAACACACAGAAATACCCTGCCATGCCCTGGCATGTGTGGGGTTTGGGCCTGCTCTGGGGTGGGTGGGGGGGCCAGGGGCTGTGCTCCCTAGGTTGTGGGTTACGCCCCCTGGATTAGACATAAACGTTCCAACAGAAGAACCCCCCTGGTCTTGTGTTGGGGACATCAGCCCTGAGCCCCTACTCCCACATTATAATGACACTGCAGGGGAGGGGTGCCCAGTACCCAGCTCCCCTGCACCCTAAAATGGGTTTAACAGTGGGACAGGGTGCCCCATCCCTCTCCCTGCCCCCCAACAGACAGGCTCGCAATGGGGAGTGTCCCAGCTGCGGTGGGGGAGGGTCGCTCCTGCCCTGGCCCCCATCTCACAGGTGGGGAGGGTACATCTGGGAGGCAGATGCTCCCCTCCTCATGGGCGCTGCAGAAATGAGGGGCAGCAGGGTTTAGTGAGTCACTCAAAACGCGGGGCGGCCCTAATATGGGGAGGCCCAACGTCTGATCCTGCGAGTCGTCCAGCGATGGGGCAGAGCCTCAAATCCATGGGGGTGTTGGAGTTTCAGGGCCCCCCTGTGTTCCCAGCATCTCTTGCGCTCTCCTAGAAACAGCTGGTTGGGGGTGAACCCAGGAGTCCGGGAGCAGCCACTGAGATAATTGTGGGGCCCCCACTCAGTCCTCTTAGAAACTCACCAAAGTATAAACCATACTGGGGAGAGAAAGAGAAAGAGACACCCTGAAATGCTCCAGCATAACAGAGCTGCAGGTCAGGAGCGAGGGGCACAGAGTCTCAGCGCCAGGCACATAGACCTGCACCCCACCCCAGAGACAGCTGTACCTCAGTATGGGGTAAGGGATCCCTGTATAACCTCCCTGTGCCCCACCCCAGAGGAGGCTGCATCTCAGTCCCTGGAAAGGATTCCCAGAAACCGTGTTGGGGTGCTACCTGTACAAGTAGTAGAAGAAGGACAGCAGATAGAAGGCTAGTTTGCACCACGACTCCTTCTGGCAGTAGTTGAGGATGTCGGCGTTCATGATGGAGACAGCATCGTACATCACCTCGGACCCGTCTGCCGGGCGGTGGAAGTACCTGGGGGGCAACGAGGCCAGGGCTCAGACAGCGTCTTTGTCCTCCCAAACCCCTCGTGCAAGGGGCTCCTGTAGTACTTAGGAAAGACCCCCCTCCTAGCCCAGCCACGCCCACGGCTCTGCCAGTCCCCCCCCCTAGCCCCGCCCCCCCCCCGGCCCCGCCCGGCCCCCCGCCTAGCCCAGCCTCGCCCACGGCTCTGCCGGTCCCCCGCCTAGCCCAGCCACGCCCACGGCTCTGCCGGTCCCCCCTGCTAGGCCAGCCACACCCACGGCTCTGCCGGTCCCCCTGCTAGCCCAGTCATGCCCACAACTCTGCCGGTTCCCCTTCTAGCCCAGCCCTGGGTACCCCTGCCCCATGTCCTTCAATCCCAACCCACTGCCCCCAGAGGCTGCACTCCCTCCCCCCACAAGCTGTCCTCTCGAGGAGGGCAGGCTCCCAGGGCGCAGACCTCACTCACCTCCAGAGGTGGTAAAAGAGCAGAGGGATGTTGAGGCCCAGGGTGACCCACTCGGCTGCACACAGGAACATGAGGCAGAAGAGCCCATGGATAGAGTATTCAGGGACCACGAGCTGGAAGGGAGAGCAGGCCCTGGTCAGTGGGGAAATAGAACCCAGGAGTCCTGGCTCTAGGGTTGTCAACCCTCCAGGATTGTCCTGGAGTCTCCAGGAATTTAAGATTAATCTGTAATTAAAGATTATGTCATGTGAGGAAACCTCCAGGAATACATCCAACCAAAATTGGCAACACTACCTGGCTCCCAGCACCAGTGGCGGGTGGATGCCGCCTCAGCACACTGTGCTCCCCACAGGCACCCCATTAGTATTCCACGGCTTTGATGTGGCCATGTCCTGTCCTGCCAGCAGCCAGGTATAAATAATACATGGGGGTGTGGGGGGCGTATTCTCAAACGGGAACGCAGAGCAACACACAACAGGGAAACTGACAAAAGCAACACAGCACCTCCCCAGGGGCACCAGCTCCCATCTGGCCCCAGGGCGGGGGAACTGGCTGCCTCAGGGTAGCAGGGAATAGGATATGGGGCCTTTCCTGGGGGCAGCTCTGATCTGGCCCTAAGGCAGGTGGGGACTGGCTGGCTGGGTGAGGGTTCAGGGGGCTGTGGGGAGAAGATGCTAGGAGCCTAGAAGGAGGAGGTGTGAGGGGGGTTGGGGGCTCAGAAGGCTGTGGGGAGAGGTGGGGGCAGCTGTGGGGAGGAGGTGCAGGAAGCCTAGGAGGAGAAGGGGTGGGAGGGGGCTTGGGGGATCAGGAGGCCATGGGGAGAGGTATTGGGGGCTTCAGGGAGGCGGTGCAGGGAGCCTAGGAGGGGAAGGGGTGTGAGCAGACGAGGCTGTGAGGAGAGATGTGGGGGGCTGTGGGGAGGAGATGCAGGGAGCTGAGGGGGTTGGGAGTTCAGAAGGCTCTGGGAGAAGTGGGGGGGCTGTGGGGCTGAAGTCCAGGGAGCCTAGGAGGGGCAGGAGATGGGAGAGGGTTTGGGGGTTCAAGAGGCTGTGGGAAGAGGTGTGGGGGGCTGTGGGGAGGAAGTTCAGGATGCCCAGGAAGGGGAGGAGTGCTGGAGCTGGAGGGTTCAGGATGCAGTGGGGAGAGGTGAGGAGGCTATAGGGAGGAGATGCAGATGTTCATCGAGGTGCAGGAGTTGAGGGGGATGGCGGGTTCAGGCGCTGTCAGTTGCTCCCAGGTTGGGGGTTCAAGAACTGGTCATTCACTGTTTTGGAGACTGGAAGAGCTAAGACATAAGGGGCAGGGATGGGGCCACATGGATGCGGGGGACACACAGACAGGTGAGACAGGGACAGGGACACACGGACGCACCTTTCTCAGGAGGCAGCAAATCCGCTCAATGTTTTTCAATCGCTCTCGCTGCAGGGGGGAAAGAAACAGGGAATTAGATTGAGAGCTGGCACAGGGGAGGGCTGAGAGAAGGGGGGGAGGCAGGAACAGAGAGGGGTGTTCAAGCCTGGTGGGAGGGGCTGGGAGTCAGGATTCCTGAGTTCTATACCTGGCTCTGGGACGGGAGTCGGGTTGGAATGTTAAAAATCAATGGTTATAACCTATTTAGGAAGGATCAAGTGGGCAAAAAGGCAAGGGGTGTGTCAAATATGGCATTATGTGTGTCTGAGTCACCGACAGCTCAGAAGCAAATGATTTACAATGCTGATGGATCAATGTCCTAACAGATAAAACAATAGATTGGTTACTAGATGGTGTCTTCTACATGCCACCAAATCCACTAGGGAACAGGATGCCTGGCTCCTTCCACAGCTGTTTTTAATGAGTAGAGGGGGAATAAACAGTGGGATCATGGGGGCTTCAATCTGAGTGACATATGCTGGAGGCCTCCTGCTGTCAGTGCTAAAACATCTTTGGAATTTCTATATATTATAGATCGCAATTATAAATGACAATTTCCTAGCTCAGAGTGTTGCATCCAACATGAGGGAATTCTAAATTGGACCTCATCTGGACAGATAAAGAGGAATTGAGCACAGAACTAAAAATTTGTTGTTGCTTAGGTGCAAGTGATCATGACTTGATCACATTTGTTATGTATAAACAGAATAAACTCCAAACTAGCAATATATTAACTTATGTTTAAAAGGTCTAGTTTCACAAGGCTGAAAGCTAAAAGGAACCAAGTCAGCTGGGAGGCAGAATTTAATGAGAAAAATGTGAATGATAATTAGGAATTGTTTAAGAACATTTTAATAGAAGCCTAAAAAGCCACAATCAAGAAAGAACCCACCTCTCTTGGAGATGAAGTGAGGGCAGTTCATTACAATAAATGAACGAGATAGATAGATAGATAGATAGAGAGATAGATAGGTAGATAGATATGGGAAAGAAGGGAAGTCAATAGCCATGAATATAAATCAGAAGCTAGGAATTGTAGAAAATTAATGAGAGAAGCAAAAGGACACCAGGAGTGATGTTTGGCCAGCAGAGTTAAGTACGAGAAGGAATTTTTTTCAAGAATATTAAGACCAAAACAACATTGGTCCATTACTAAATGGAAATTTCAAAATTGTCAATAATAATGTAGAAATGGCAGAAGTATTCAATAACTATTTGTGTTCTGTATTTGAGAAAAAGCCAGATAATGTGTTCATATTATATGATGATGGTGGTGATGAAACACTTTCTATTCCAATAGTAATTCTGGAGGATGTTAAACAGCATCTACTAAAGTTAAGACATTTCTTAATCAGCTAGGCCCTGTAACTTGCATCCAAATGTATTAAAAGAGCTGACCGAGGTGCTCTCTGGACCATTAGGGTTGATTTTTCAATACGTTTTGGAGCACTGGGGAAGTTCTAGAACAGAGGTTCTCAACCAGGGGACCAAGGCCCCCTGGGGGGGGGCCGCGAGCAGGTTTCTGGGGGTCCTCCAAGCAGGGCCAGCATTAGACTCACTGGGGCCAAGGGTAGAAAGCCAAAGCCCCACTGCATGGGGTTGAAGCGTGGGGCTCTGAGCCCTGCCACCTGGGGCTGAAGCCAAAGCCTGAGCAACTTAGCTGTGCGGGGCTCGCTGTGGCATGGGGCCCCAGGCAATTGCCCTACTTGCTACCCCTAACACAGGCCCTGGCTCTTATATGCAGAAAACCAGTTGTTATGGCACAGGTGGGCCGTGGATTTTTTATCTCATGTTGGCGGGGGGGGGGGGGGGGCTCAGAAAGAAAAAGGTTGAGAAGCCCTGTTCTAGAGGACTGGGAGAACACTAATGTTGTGCCAACATTTAAACAGGGTCAAAGGATGGACCTGTGTTATTACAGGCTTGTCAGCCTGACATCAATCCCAGGCAAGACATGGGGCAGCAGATATGATGGGACTCAATTCATAAAGAAGTATAGGAGTGTGATATAATTAATGCCAATCAATGTGGGTTTATGGAAAATAGCTCCTGTCCAACTAATTTGATGTATTTGTCAATGAAATTCCAAGTTAGGTTGATAAAGGTAATAAAGCTGATGCAATATATTGAGACTTCTGTAAGGCATTTGACGTGATGCTGCATGACATTGTGATACAAAACCTTGAACAATACAAACCCAACATGACACACATTAAATGGGGTAAAGCTGGTTAAGTGCTAGGTCGCAAAACGTAACTGTCCACAGGGAATCATCATTGAATGGGAGTGTTTCTAGTGGGGTCCCAAAGGAGCTGCTCTTGGCCCTATGCTAGTTAACATTTTTATCAGTGACCTGGAAGAAAACATCAAATCATCACGGAAAGTTTGCAGATGACACAAAGATTGGGAGAGTGATAACTAATGACGTTAGATCACGGATACAGAGCGATCTGGCTCCCTGAGTAAGCTGGGCTCAAGCAAACAATGTGTGTTGTAATATGGGCCAATGTAAACATACACCTCTAGGAACAAAGAACGCCGGCCACACTTTCAGGACAGGGAACTCTGACGAGGGCTTGGGGCTCATGGCGCATGATCAGCTGAACACAAGCTCCCAAGTGCGACACTGTGACTAAAAGGGCTAATGCGATCCTGGGGTGTGTAAACAGGGGAATCTCGACTAGGAGAAGAGAGGTTCTGTTACCTCAGTATGTGGCGCTGGTGCAGCCGCTGATGGAATCCCGCATCCAGTCCTGGTGCCCACAGTGCAAGAGGGACACTGATAAATTGGAGGGCTCAGAGAAGAGCCATGAGAATGACTAAAGACTTAGAGAACAGGCCTCAGAGTGAGAGATTCCAGGAGCTCGATCTGTTTAGTTTAACAAAGAGAAGGCTAAGGGGTGACTTGATCACAGGCTAGACACCTACGTGGGGAACAGAAATTAGATAATGGAGCTGCAATAGAGCAGCCGAAGGTCTAACAAGAGCCAAGGGCTGGAAGTTGAAGCTGGCCCCATTCAGACTAGGGATAAGACACCTACATTTTTAACAGTGCAGGTAATTAACTGTTGGAACAATTTATCCACAGCTGTGGCGGATTTGCCATCACTGGCGATGTTTAAATCAAAATGGGATGTTTTTCTGACAGATCTGCAGGGCCGCCCGGGGGGGGAAAGTGGGGCAATTTGCCCCAGGCCCCAGGCCCCGCAGGGGCCCTGCAAGCCCTGGCCGAGAATCCCTTTCCTCATCCGGTGGCGGTCCAGGTCTTCAGCGGCATTTCGGCGGCGGGGGGCCCTTCAGTGCTGCTGAAGACACGGAGCAACTGAAGGGCCCCCAGCCGCCGAAATGCTGCCACCGCAGACTCAGCGCGCCACCCGGTGAGTACAAGCTCCCCCGCTTCGCCCCAGGCCCCCTGAATCCTCTGGGCGGCTCTGCAGATCTGCTCTAGTCTAGTGCAACCAGGGATTAATTCATAGAAGTCCTATACCCTGTGTTATATAATCATAGCAATGTAGGGCTGGAATGGACCTAACATGGTCATCTAGGCCACCCACCTGCGGGAGGCAGGACCAAGTAAACCTGGCTTACCCCTGCCAGGTGTTTGTCTAACCTGTTCTTAAAAACTTCCACTGATGGGAATTCAGCTGCCTCCCCAAGTAACCTGCTCCAGTGCTTTAAATAGACACTGGAACAGGTTATACAGGAGGACAGACTAGATGATCACAATTGTCCCTTCTGGCTTTATAATCTAGGAACCTTGTGGTTAGAGCAGGATGTGGGGGTGGAGGGGAGCCAGGACTCCTGGGTTCTATGCTCAGCTGTGGGAGGTGAATGAGGTCTAGTGGGGGGGGGAGGGTGTACATGGATACCTGCTCTGGGAATTAGTTTTGTGTGTTGGGGTATTGCTGGAGCTGGGGTCAGGGGTGGGGTGCAAGTAGCCATAAAGACACCTCATTGCCCTTATATAGGGCTGGGGTTTGCAGAAACTCCAAAATGAAGGTGGAGCCCAAATCCCAGGCCCTCTGGGGCCCCACGTCCTTCCTCCCAAGCCGTAAAGAGGGTTCAGGCTCCATCATTCACATCATTGTCTGACACATTGTGTGTCCTTAGTTAAGGCTTGTACAATACACAAGTCAAGGATATTGTAATATCCTACATAAACAGTGAGACTAAGCCCTACACAAACATAGACAAGACCCCACATAAACACCAGACATTAAGCCTTGCACAACTACAAACACAAATACTATACCCTACATAGACAGAGCTCAAGAGAAGTGGCTCCGCTTGTGCTCCCATGAGGGGAAAGGGACCATTTACATTTCCAGTTTCTTCAGCATGAACCCCAAGGCGAGTGGGGCCCCAAAACCATGAGACTGACTTTGAAATCATGTGCCACTGGGCTTGTATTTATTGGCTTGGCGCCTGCAGGGTGCCTCCAGGAAACAGATCCCAGCTTCTCCCCATAAGAGAGAGAAACTTGCTGGGGGTTTTACATATGAAAGCCACGATTCTCAAAAGATCCCAGGACTCTGGGAGCTGGGGATTTAAAGGCATGTCTACACTGCAATAAAACAGACATAGCTAGGCCATGCGAGCTGACTCCGGCTGGCAAGGCTCAGGCTGAGGGGCTATACAACTGCAGTGTCAATGTATGGGCTGGGGCTGGAGCTGGGCTCTGGAACCCCGTAAGGAGGGAAGGAGCCCCATGAGCCCGAATCAACTGACAGGGGCCAGCCCGGGTGTTCGGTTGTAGCATAGACATACCCTAAGACACCAAATGTCACAGTCAAACCCTGAGACCAGGCAACAGGGACTTCAAATGGCAGCTTTTTCCAACAGAGACTCAGCCTGAGAGGATTCCAGCTCTGGAGCCCTGGACACTCTGCTGGTGTCCCTGTGCTGGCCTGTAGCCCCTGCTATCCAGCCCTGGGCTCCCGGCACAGCTCTGTCAGAGCCCCTCAAACCCACAGCCCCTGCTATTCAGCCCTGGGCTCCCCGCACAGCTCTGTCAGAGCCCCTTAAACCCGCAGCCCCTGCTATCCAGCCCTGGGCTCCCCACACTGCCACCAACCCTGCAGAGAACAGGAAGCAACTCGAGCTTCATCTGGGGGGACTGAAACCTCAGTGTCTCTGCCCTTTAGCCAGCCAGCGAACCCCAAACCCTGGCTGGATCAGTAACAGGAAAGACAAACTTACAAACACGACTCACACAGCAAGTTCCCCCCACCTGCTCACCCCCTCTTGAGCACAGCCAGACCCCCAAATTCACTCCGCTGTGACACCTCCACCCCCCACCCGAGCAAGGTCATCCCCCCGAACCCACCCCCATCAATTTCCCCAGCTCCTTCTCTCCCCTCCTCCTTCACCCCCATCTCATCCCCACCAGCCCCCAATGGCCCCCAGATCTCAGTTCCCCTGTGGTAAATCCAGTCACCCAGCAACAGCAACGGGATAAGGGCTGGATTCTGAGCTCAGCTTCCCCCGGTCAATCAGAGCAGTGCTGACTTTGTAATGAAAGAGGTGCCGGGGCTCACGCAATTTTTTCACATTCATACCAGATGCAGCAAGCCCAGAGGTGCTGGGGCTAGGCACTGCCAAGCCCAGAGGTGCT